TAAGCTAAGCAAAGCACAGGGACCGCGGTTCAATCCCCCAGCACCACATGCCAGCCAGCCCCGCCCCCTGGTGGGCTGAGCTGGCCATACACACACACACAATAAATAAATAAATAAATAATTTAAAAAAAAAATCATTTGTGGGGCAGGGGTTGTAGCTCCATGGTAGAGTCCTAACATGTATGAGGCTCTGGGCTCTATCCCCAGTACTATTTTTAAAAAAAATTCCTTTGAGCCTTGGAATAAAGGTACATTTTTCTAGAAATCATTTGACTTTTCTTCTGCCTTCTGTCGTAAACTAAAATTTGACATTTACCAACACCCAAGCCCACTGAAAAGTCAGTTTAAGGTTTTTCTTTGCTGGAACAATGTCTAAACCCCAGGACTTCACTTAGCCTGGAGCTTTTGTTGTACCTGAGTTCTTTTCCTTTGCTTTCCTCTAAAAGCTTGTGGCTTTCTAGTTTATGTTTAGGTCTCTGTGCTCAGATGAATCTTTGTGTTTGAGGGACGTAAGAATCAATACAAAAGTCTAGATCTTTTTTGTTTTGTGATACCAGGAATTGAACTCAGGACCTTGCACTTGCCAGGCAAGTGCTTATCCTACTGCGCTATCTCCCCAGCCCCCAAATCCAGACCTTCCAGTACCATTTGCTTCAGACTTCAGATAGGCAGAGATGTCAGGAAGTGGTGGCCACATGGAGCTGAGGTTCAGGGGAGGTCAGTGCTAGGGATACAGAGGGGGCCCATCTACTCCCTACCCCCCAAGCAGCAGGGGCAGAGCAGGCAGTCTCAGCCTCGTGGGTGACCCAGTTTTCTACCCCCAGCCCCAGTCACCGCTCCCTGACGTGCTGGTCTGGATGCTCAGTGGGCAGCGCCGTGTGGCCTGTGTTCGGATCCCTGCCCAGGACGTGCTATTCTCTGTGGTGGAGGAGGAGCGTGGCCGGGACTGTGGGAAGATCCAGAGTCTGCTGCTCATGGTGAGTGGGGCCAGGGGGAGGGTGCTGAGCATGCGGAGAGGCTTCTTGTCCCTACCAAGAGCTTCCTGATTCTGGGGATGGGGAGATGGCTCAGTAGGGGCTGGGGAGATGGCTCAGTAGAATAAGTGTTTGCCTGGCAAGCGCAAGGGCCTGAGTTCAATCCCTGGTTCCACCAAAATAGGTAAATAAATAAATAAATAAATACTAAAAAAAAAAAAAAAAAAAGCCAAAATGTGGTTGTAGTTTTGCCCAGGTCAGCTTAGAAGGGAGATAGATAAACAGCAAAGTCATTAGCTCTGGGCTTGCGCCGGCCTTTTTGCTGACTAGGCTCTGCCACATGGGTAGAACCATGAAAATGAGAAAAGATTAGGCATTTACCTGGATTGCTGATTTGTAGGCAACATATTTCTGATGAGATTCACTGAAGATGTTAAAAGGGGTCCCCAGTGGTGAGAAGCTGTGTTGCTCGGTCTGGGACATGGGATGTTAAATGTGTTAGGAAAGGGGAGAGTGTAGTTTTAGGGTTGTGTTGTATTGTGTTGTGTATGGGATGTGTTAACGAGGTCAGGGCAGTAGGTATAAGGGACAGGTTCAGGGACGAAGGGCATGAAGGAGACTGCAGAGGTAGAAGCAAAGGGACTGTCCTTTGGGGTACAACCTGACATTAAGAGGGTATACCTTGGGGCAGCAGGAGTGTGGGTTCTAGCTGGGGAAAGGATGGGAGGGTTTGGGCCCTAGCATGCCCTCTTCTACACAGGCACCCGGGGCAGCCCCTGGGGAGGTTTGTGCCAAGCTCGAGCTCTTCCTGTGGCTGGGGCTAGGCAAACAAGCCAAGGCCTGCACCTCTGAGCTGCCCCCCAACCTGCTGCCTGAGCCCTCAGCCGGGCTGCCCCACAGCCTGTCCCGGGACGGTGAGCACAGAGGGTGGGCGGGGGGGCACAGCCTTCCTTGCCACTTGCCCATGGTGAGCACTCATGAGTCAGGGCACCTAAACACTTCTCCAAGAAAGCATGGCCCCTGCCCTCCCCCTCCCCAGATTTTAGTTACTTCCAGCTCCGGGCTCACCTGTACCAGGCCCGAGGTGTCTTGGCAGCAGATGACACTGGCCTCTCGGATCCCTTTGCACGAGTGCTCATCTCCACCCAGTGCCAGACCACACGGGTGAGTGGCATGGGTGAAGGGGCTGGAAGACACGGTAAGGGGGACCGCTCGGATCTAGGGCACGGAGGCAAAGCGGAGGTCTTGGGGGAAGAGTTGCTTGCTGGGCTGAATTTAGGACTCGGCCCTGAGGGTGGAAGATGACACTTGGGAAAGACCGCGGCTGGCCAGGGTGGCCCAGCACTGATTGCTGTCGCTTCCATCCTTGCTCCTGGCGAGAGGCACAGCTGCTGCAAATCTCACCAGAGCAGGACTGCTCCCCTGACCACGCGCAGTGTCGCCTCTCACCCCTGCTGCTGTCCCTTTCTCTACCCAAAGGTCCTGGAGCAGACCCTGAGCCCCCTGTGGGATGAACTCTTGGTGTTCGAGCAGCTGATTGTGGATGGGAGGCGGGAGCACCTGCAGCAGGAGCCTCCGCTAGTGGTCATCAGCGTCTTTGACCACAATAAGTTTGTGAGTGTAGCCTAGCCCCAGCCAGGCTCCAGGTCTGGACCCTACTTCCTTGAGGCCCCTCCTTTGGCTCCTTCTGTCTTTACCACCCTGCTTTCCACAGGGCCCTGCTGTGTTCCTGGGCAGGGCACTGGCTGCCCCAAGGGTGAAGCTGACTGAAGACCCTTACCAGCGCCCCGAGCTGCAGTTCTTCCCTCTGAAAAAGGGACTCCAAGCAGCTGGGGAGCTCATTGCCACCTTTGAACTTATTGAGCTGGACTACGGTGGCCAACTGGAGGTCAGAATCCCACATTCTGGTAGTACCAGACTTGTTACTCATCAGGCTCCCACCCTCCCTGAGCATGGCTGTTTTCTGAGGCCCCCACCCCAACGTCTCTGCCTTGCCTGGTTCATGTCTGTGCCTCACATATGTCCCTTTCCCAAGCGCAGCTTCTGCGTTTGGCCTGATTTTCTTTGACCTCTGACCTTTCCCCTGTAGCTCACAGTTCCTAGTGATGTAGAGCCCCAAGATCTGACAGCCCTGATGGAGCCCCTGTCTGGACGCCTGTCCCTACCACCCAGTGTGCGCCCAGTGCTCAGGGAGTTCCGCATTGAGGTAACGCTGTGCACCCTGAGCCCCTCATTCCCTTGCACCAGGCGGCCTCTTGTTGGGTGCAGACCCTTGAGTCCCCCCAACTTTATGACTCCCTAGGTGCTGTTCTGGGGCTTGAGGGGCCTTGGTCGTGTACACCTGTTTGAGGTGGAGCAGCCCCAAGTTGTGCTGGAAGTGGCCGGGAAACGTGTAGAGTCAGAGGTTCTAGCCAGCTATCGTGACAGCCCCAACTTCAGCGAGCTCGTCAGGCATTTGACAGTGGTGAGGCAGGGGCTGGGGGCAAGGCACGATGAGCGGGGAGGTAGAAGAGGGTGGTGGACAGTGACTGTCTAGCAGTTGTCTCAGACTATCAAGAGCCACATAGTGAATAAGGCTCCATGGGTCACACAGTCTCAGGTGCGGCCATTCATCCCTGCCACTGTGGTATGGCAACAGCCACAGACAATGTGCAAATGAATCCCTGACTATTAAATGAAACTGCATTTACAAAAATCGGTAGGGTGCTGGACATGGTGGTGCAGGCCTGTAATCTTAGCATTCTGTGAGGCTGAAACAGGAGGATTGCAAGTTCTAGTCCATGCAGGGCAATTTAGCAAGATCCTGTCTCAGAATGAAAGATTAGAAAAAGGATTAGAAATGTATCTTAGTGGGAAGGCCTTGAATTCAATCCCCTGTACACACAGACACACAGACACACAGACACAGACACACACACACACACACACACACACACACACACACACACCATGAGCTCTGTGTTACTCTGTGGCCTGGCCATGCCACTCTTCGTTCTACTGAATGAGTGGATCAGACATTTGTCCTGAGATGCACGCCAAGGGCTGAGAAGAACATTACATTGTGTCACCTGTAATCACCATTTCAGCTAAATTTTGGCAATGCTGCTCTGGATCTCATTACATAACTTGTATCATGTGAGCTTCAGTTTCTCTGTGCACCACAGGGGAAGAGAGATGAAAAACGAGGCCTGGGAGACACACGCTGGGTGCTGCTCTTGTGTTGAGTGGAGCACCTCCCATAGATGCCACTAGGTTCAGTTGCTTGCTGATGTCATCCAACCCCTTGATGGTTTTCTCCTTTACTGAGAATAGGACATGGAAGTCTCCACTTCCATTGTTTTTTAGGGGTGCGGGGGTTGATTTTTTTGAGACAGGGACCCACTTTTAGCTGGCCTTAAATTCACCTATGTAGCCCAAACTGGCCTTAAACTCACAGAGATCCTCTTGTCTCAGCCTTCCCAACACTGGAATTACAGGAGTGTGCTACCACACCCAGTTTGCCACCACACTTGGTTTCAGGCTGGCATGGCATGCTGGGGATTCTGGGGCTGGCATGGCATGCAGTACCGGGGATCAAACTCCGGACCTTGTGCTTGCCAGTCAGGCACTTAGACCACTGAACTATCTCCCCAGCTCCTACCTTTATTCTTGAGTTGTCTGCTTTTTGTTTCTCCTTCAACTCTGTTACTGTGTGTGTGTGTGTGTGCGCGCGCGCATGCACATGCATGTGGTGCTGGGGATGGAATCCAGTGCATGTGCTAAGCTCCAAAGTGTTTGTGTATTATTTGATACTTAGAACAATCTCTTGAGTTTTGGACTTTGTTTCTTTTGTAGCTGGGACATACAGTCAGAAAGCAGTGACCCAGCAGAGACACACAGTGAGGCAGCGGCAGTGCTGGGCCCACAGCGAAGTGTAGATGTGTTGTCCCCGTCTTTGTTTCTTCCCCAGGTCTTTCCAGACACTGCTCCTCTTTCCCTACCCTAGGACTTGCCGGAGCAGCCCTACCTGCAGCCTCCACTCAGCATCTGGGTGATTGAGCACCGGGCCTTTGGTCGCACGGTCCTTGTGGGCTCCCACACTGTCCCCCACATGCTGCGGTTCATACTCCATGGAAACGAGGATCCCCTAGAGGAGGAAGGAGCAGAGGAAGAGACAGAGGACTTGGAGCCCAAGGGACCTCCAGGTTAGGGGCCTTCCCCTGAGGGGCTACCAGCCAGAAGTCCTTCTGGTTCCTGGGCACCCTCCATGAGGCATCACCTGACCTCATGGTATCAATCCCCCTCCCAGGACCAAAATCCTTGGATCCCTTCCTGGCCGATGCTGGGCTATCAAGACGGCTCCTGAAGGTGAGGCACTATGTGAGAAGGGCACAGAAGAGATTGGCAGGGCCTGGGGTGGTGCTGGGTTACAGTGCCCGAGATCTTATCCCCTCAGGCTCCTCTGAAGAAGCTCAGCCTAGGAGGCCTCCTGAGTCAAGGCCCAGAGTTGGAGGAGGACATCCCAGACCCAGAAGAGCTCGACTGGTGGTCCAAGTACTATGCTTCCCTGCAGGAGCTGCAGGCACAGGTGGGGCACAGGATGGTCCAGGGGGTGGGAGTAGCAGGCAAAAGGCAAGAAGAGTGATCTCATCGTATGGGAGCACTGTAGTTTTACAGAACTCTTCAGTACAATCAGCCATACTCATCTTTATCACAGTTTAGGAGCTGGGGTTTTTAGCTCCATTATCTGGGGCCCTGTTGTCTAACAGAAATATAGCACAAGCCACATGTGTAATTTTAACTTTTTAGTGGTCATGTTAAAAATAAGTAAAAGAGGGCCTGGGAGATGGCTCAGTAGGATAAGCGCTTGACTGGCAAACGCAAGGATCTGAGTTCACTCCCCGGTTCCGCCAAAAAAAAAAAAAAGTAAAAGGAGGCCAGGCATGGTGGCACATGCCTTTAATTCCAGCCCTCAGGAGGCTGAGGCAGGAAGATCATTGTAAGTTCAAGACTGGGCTACAAAGTGAGTTCAACAACAGCCTGAACTGCATAGTGAGACCCTGTCTCACTAAATAAATAAATAAATGTGAGATTATTTTAATATGTTTTATTTAACATTATTGCCACAAAGAATCACCATAAGGATTCATCAGGAGATATCTTATGTTCTTAGGATATAGTGAGCTTTTAGAATTTAGAGAGTGCATTTTGTCCTTACAGCATTAGCCATATCCCAACGGCTCAGGAGCTACTGACTGGCTACTGTCTGAGACGCAGGGTTAGGAGGTAATACAGGCTTAGAAAACAAGTGGCTTACGCAGCAGGAACCTGAACTAAAGGTTCCCAACTCAGTGTGTAGAAACAGGGCAGACTTCACTAAGGATGTCAAGGGTGGGGAGGACTCTCTTATCTGCCCTTTGATTTCAGCCCAACTTGGATGAGGATGAAATGGATGATCCTGGAGACTTAGGTAAGAGGTTTGCTTTGTCTGGCCCTACACTCTGCACCCACACGTCTCTGCTCTGGGGCAGTCCTGCTGTTTCCAGACAGCCTCAACCTCACTTCTGCAGATGGGGAGGCCCGGGACCAGGGTGAGGCTGAAGCCGTGGAAGGCACTGGATCTCGGAAAAAAGCAGTTGCTACCCTGAAGGTGATGGAGTGCTGGGAGATGGGACTCTGTCTGGATCCTGCGTGTGGCACTGTGACTGAAGCCCCTGCCTTTCAGATCTACAACAGCTCCCTGGAGGAAGCCTTTCACTACTTTGAAGACTGGCTGAACGTGTTCCCGCTGTACAGAGGGCAAGGGGGGCAGGGTGGGGATGGAGAGGAAGAGGGGTCCGGATACTTTGTGGGCAAGTTCAAGGTATGTTTGGGGAAGGAAAAGGGGCCCAGGGAGCACAGGCAGAGATTTAGGAGGAAAACTCTTATCGGAGCCTTTTATGTCTCCCTCCATCCCAGGGTTCCTTCCTCATTTACCCGGAGTCAGAGGCAGTGTCCTTTTCTGAGCCCCAGATCTCCCGGGGGATCCCTCAGAACCGGCCCATCAAGCTCCTGGTCAGAGTGTATGTTGTAAAGGTGAGTGTCTGTCCTGCCAGCAAATCTGCAACACCAGCAAAGGTGATGAACATGAAATCTACAGAACGAGGCTGTAGAAGGCATCTTGGGGACCACAGAGCCCAACATGATCATTTTTCAGATAGGAAGTCTGAGACACAAAGTTAGAAGACTCCCCCAGGGTTCCAATGCTTGGTGATGGCAGACCTAGAATTTAGAGTAGGACTCCTGATCCCTTGGTCACTGTTCTGCTCCAGCAGGGTGGGAAGTGTCACTCTGGATCTCAAGCTGCAGGGTGGGTCATTTCCCAAGGACATCCTCACTTTGGGCAGAGATCAGCAGGGGCCTTACATTATCTGGAAAGTATCTCAGAGAGTAATGGGGATTCAGTGGGTTGTTCTGCGGCCTGACTCCTTGTCACCAGAGTGGATGGTGTACTTCTGTCTGGCTTACATATAGGGAAGACATCACTGGAGAAACATTCTAAGGTACCATTCTATCATAATCCATGATTCCTAGTGCATCAACTTGGTAATGGAAATCATCGAGATCTTTTGTTTTTAGCAGAATGGTAGGCTGGGTGGTCTAGGCAAATTCTTTTTGGAAGCTATCTAGGAGATGTTACGTAAATTGTCTTAAATGAATGCTATGCTTATGCTGAGGTCCTGATGTGCTAAGGCCCTATGTTCAGTCTGCAGCACAAGTAAGTAAGGAAGGCCAGTCATAGTGGTGTATGCCTGTAATTCCAGTATTCAGGAGGGGTTGAAGCAGGAGAATCCTTGTGAGTTCGAGACCAGCCAAGGCTACAAAGTGAGCTGCAGGCTAGACTAAACTGCATAGCAAGACCTGTCTCAAAAAGATAAAAATAAATAAATAAATAAAAATAAATAAATAAATAAGAAGGGAGGAAAGAAGGACTAAGGTATGCCTATAATCCCAGCAATCCTGAGGCTGAGGCAAGAAGATTGCCATGAGTTTGAGGCCAGTGCAGGCTCTGAAGTGAGTTCAAAGCCAGCCTGCATTACATAGTGGACCTTGTTTTGAGAGACAGAGTGAAAGAAAGACAGAGAGACTAATTAATGCTAAGATCTATTAATACTAAGCTCATAAGAAAGTAAAATCCCAACCTTCCCCAAATGAAGAAGGAATAAGAATCCCAAGTGGAAGATGAACCCTAAAAACTCAGGTTGTCTTGAGCCAGAATCATGATTCTTGCATGAACCTTGGTGGGCAAGAAAAGGTAGGATAAGCATGCTGGCCCAGCCTTTCCTGGTGAGGAAAATAGAAAAAAAAATCTTTTTTAAAAAATTAACTTTGGGGCTGGAGAGATAGCTCAGTAGAATAAGTGCTTGCCTGGCAAGCATAAGAGCCTGAGTTCAATCCCCGGTTCTGCAAAAAAAAAAAAATAAAAATAAATAAATAAATAAATAAATAAATAAATAAAATTATTGGGCTGGGGAGATAGCTCAGTGGCATAAGTACCTCCCTGGCAAGTGCAAGGTCCTGAGTTTGATCCCCGGTACTACTGCTATTACTACTACTACTAATTAGTAATAATTTCTTGGTATACTTTGATATACATAGTAATCACATTTATTGTAAAAAAATTGTACCTGTACATAATGTGTCTGGATTCTTTTTTCTCCATTCCCCTCTCCTGCTGTCAACCCTTCTTCTTCTCTTGATTTACAAAAGCTTTGTTTTTATTTTTCTTTTCCCTTTTTTTTTTTGTGTGTGTGTGTGCTGGGAATTCAGTTTAGGACCTCATGCTTAGCAGGCAGGCACTGTGCCACTGAGCTGTATCCGCAGCTCCTTTTGCCCTTCTATTTTATTTTTTTTCCCCTTTAGAAAAATTCTTCTCTTCCTGGGGAATTTATTATAGAGTTTTGTCCTTACTTTGAATTAAGACTTGAATTTATACTACAGTGTTGCATCAATTCATGAATACTTTTATTTGTAAATAATTTCTTTTACAAACAGAAGCATTTGGAAAAATTTTGCTTTTGTTTGCAAACACTATAACAGATGACAAACATGACTGTGGCCATCTTTTTTGCATAAACACGAATATGGTCATTTTTCCCAAACTGTGGAATGAATTAAGTTCATGAACTGAGGTATCACCGTATTTGTTTAGAATACAAAATAAATTGTCCAGAAAACTAAACACTGAGAAATTAGCTTGAAGTGATCACAGTTTCCATAGATTTTAAGAATCAAATGTGGGTTCACAATGCAAAATTATAAAATATATAAGAAAATAATCAGAAAAATTGTCAAAAGAAACAACACAAAGGAGAGTTAGATATCTAATACTTTATATGTTAGAATTTTCAAATATTAAAATGCAAAAAGTGTTTAAAGTGATACACAAGCAGAAAGTAAGATGCTGTCACAAGGGACTGAGGCTGTGGGCTGGGGAGATAGCTCAGTGGTCTAAGCGCCTGCCTGGAAAGCACAAGGACCGGGCTTCAATCCTCAGTAGTGCATGTTGTGCCAGCCAGGGATGGTGGTGCACACCTGTGATCCCAGAGCTGAGGAGGCTGACGCAGGAGGATTACTACAACTCTGAGCTGCGTAATGAGACCCTGTACCAAATAAATTTAAAAAAAAATTTAAAAATATTTAAAACAAAACAAAACAAGTGACCAAGACTGGATGTGGTGGCGCAGGCCTATAATTCCAGCACTCTGGGAGGCTGAGGCAAGGGGATCGCAAGTTCAAGCCCAGACTGGGCAATTTGACAATTTAGCAGTTTAGTAAGACCCTGTCTAGAATACACTTTTTTTTTTTCTTGTGGAACCAGGGATTGAACTCAAGCCCTTACGTTTGCCAGGGAAGCGCTTATTCCACTGAGCCATCTCCCCGGTCCCCACATTTTTTTAAAGGACTAGCAATGTAGCCAAGTGTGAAAGCCCTGGTTCAACCCCTAGTACCCAACTCCCACCAAAAGATCATGATAAAGAAAATCTTTTTAGTGCCCAGGTATAGAAGAATGAATGAATAAACTATATGTCTGCACAACGAAGTACTACATAGTGTTAAAAAGGAATAAGGAAAACCACTATGGTCTGAAGCAATTTCCAGAATATACTGTAAAGTGAAAAAAGCAAAGTGCAGAAGAATGTATAGTATTCTACCCTCTGAGTTAAGAAAAAAGATATAAGAAAATATATGAGCAACAAAAGTACAGGAAGAATTAGTTAGAAACTTAGAGACTGGTTCCTAGAAGGGAGAGTGGCAAAGAAGTGGAATGATTAGAGTAGCAGGAATAAAGTGACAGTTCTCAGAGCCTGAATGCTCCTTGGCTTAGGCATGCACGCTGATAATGCTGCAATTTGAAAGTATTGTAAATGCATTTAAACTACTTAATCTACCAAACATCACAGTCTAGCAGCACAGCACACAGCAGAATGTTGGCTGTATCCTTTATGGTTATGTGGTAGCTCACAGGGAGCTCTGGTCTCACAAGAGAAAGACCTAAGGATTATCCCAGAAAAAAATCAAAAGCCAAGGGCTGGCGAGATAGTTCAGCAGACTAAACACCTGCTTAGGCAAGCACAGGGACCAGGGTTCAAACACCGGCACCACATGCCACCCTTCTGAGCCCTCCGGGGGTGGCGAGCATGTTGAGCCAGCCACCAAGACTGGGCATGATGGTGCAGGCCTGCAATCCCAGCTCTGGGGAGGCTGAAAATGGGAGGATCATTATGAGTTTGAGCTGCGTATTGAGACCCTGTACCAAATACATTAAAAAAGAAAAAATTCCAAAATTGGAAGTATGATTTCTGCTGAATGCATATGCTTTCATACCAGTATAAGGTAAAAAAAGTTTAAGTCTATCAGCTATAGTCAGGTATAGGAAGAGATGGGAGAGTTATTCTGGTGGCTTCCCAGGGTAGAGAGCATTAGAGAGCATTCTAACAGAAAGAACCAGTCTAGGTGAGGCCGTGCTTAGAACTGGATGACAAGAGGACAAGGTGGGTGCAGTAGAACGAGGGCAGAAGAGGGAGTTTTAGAAGTTTTCAGGGAAATATACACGCACTGGGGAAAAGCACTGATCATGTCACGGCTTGTTTGCTGGTCATTCTGTCCTGACTTAAGCAGGAAGCCATCAGAAGGTTCTAAGTAAAGGATGTTATTTAGGGGGCCGGGGAGCTGGCTCAGCAAATAAGTGCTTGCCTGGCAAGTGCAAAAGTGCAAGGGCCTGAGTTCAATCCCTGGTTCTGCAAAAAAAAAAAAAAAAAAG